GTGCATAAGCGGGTGCAACATTACGGTTTAGGTAGATAAGGACCCCAAGATAAAGGGCCCATACTGGGTGCCCATTCCAACCTTAGATGCTGGGGTCCCACCGTTCATGCTAAAGCCCCGCATGACATGCGTACAGTATAGCAGCATGATTCTCAAGGTGTAAGCATCTTGATTTGATGCAAGAATCTTGGCAGCCATCATAGTTTCAACTTTGATGCTGGGGTCCGAATTCCTGGCTGGATACCTGCTTAGACTACACAGCGGCAACGCGCAGTTCTTTTTTGGGTCATTATGGCTTGTGGCGTGTATACCACCCAAAAAAGAAGCTCAAAAGAGCCTTCGGGCATACTTGGGGCCCGAAAGGGGTTCCTGTCTAGACGTAGAAAGTTTGGTTCCTGTGTTCTTTCTAGGCACATGGGCCCTCAGGTATTGTGGAACAGTTTAGGGTTTGGCAAAACACTTTCAACAAAACGTGCTTCAGGCCGGAAAGCGTGTCGCAGCTTGTAAGTCACGAAATCACTACCGGGCATCCCGGCATAAGCCCGCGGACCCTGGACAAAGTCATATCTGATCATGATTACGTATGTCTTTGAGGGAGTTTCTCAGAATACTCACCCCACGCGTCTTTAGGGTCCCCAGGAATATCCCTGCATTGAACAACCACTTACTATAGCTGATCACCCATGAACCTCCCTAAACCTTAAGCCCTAAACCCTAGATCTCGGTGGTAGCAGCGCAGCGTGCAGGCGGCCCTGGCCAAAACGATCGAAGAGGATTCTAGCTACGACTATCAGGCACGGAAGGCTTTTTGGGGGGCTTAGGTTTTAGGGTTTAGGGTTCAAGGTTTAGGGTTCAAGGTTTAGGGTCTAAGGTTTTACGGTTTCGGGTTTAAGGGAGCGAGAGGTTCTGTAAGATATTATATCCCATGTAGGAACCCAACATTAACGCTGCGCAAGCCCTTTCTCTGCTCAAGTGCCGAAAGCTGGGCTGTTTTTAAGGCATTGAAGTTAGGCTACCATAGCAGGGTTGATCCCTTCCTTCTAACATCAAAACCCTCTTCATATTAAGAACAAATCAGGAGCGTAAAGACTACTTTGAAAGGGGCCACCTACTAAATGAGTGGGGCTTCTGGAATTTTCAACTAATTATACAGTTCGCGAATGAATTACATAATAACCATTGAATATTCAGGTTTAATACTTTCTTATGTGATGTACTAACTGGTTGAATTAATCAAGAGCTGTTTTCCATTGATTTTGCCAACTCTACCTAAGTCGTTCAACGAATACCCCGCCCTCCCCCGCCCCCGCCCCCATATCAAGCATTCTTCGGGCACCGGATTTTTTTGATATTATGAGGGGGCGAGGACGTCATCTAATACCAGGGGTGAGCAATTAATTGGTAAAGAAGATGATTACTCGTAGTAGGGTAACAAGAGTCAAGCACTTTGACGGCAACCCAGTAGACGTGCAGCCAAAGTTTATTTCAGAGGTCTAGGTACAGTAGAATCCCATAGGGCTCCAGTTACCTAAATAATGGGAACTGGGTTCTATATACCCTATAGTTACATAGCCTAGTAACTTATTATTTAGGTAACTGGAGCCCCAGGGATCCTCCAGGGTTAGTAGAATCCTCCAGGGTTGGAGGGGTCGCGGTTTGGGGTGTAGGGTTCGGGTTTCGGAAGCAGCATGAAAGAGCGGCGCTTCTTGGGGCTCTCTGTTCTTATATCCCCGTACATCTCATGACTAGTAGTAATAATAGTAGTAATAAGAATAATCGTAATGATATTAATAGTAATAGTAATAATAGTAATATGTGGGAGTAGACAGGAGTAGAGAGAAGGTTAGGCCTCCTTAGTCAGACATGGGAACATGTCAAGGCCAACCCAAGACTCTATAGTCGCCCGTAAGTAGATAGAATATGGGGTACATTATTGGGTTTTTTAGAGATAATGGAAAAGAAAATGGAAACTACTAGATTATAATAGGGTATATATTGGTGTTATAGTCCCCCTTAAGTAGATAGAATATGGCTTTGGGTATATTATAGTAAGATCCCCATATACCCCATATTCCAGCTACTTAAGGGGAACTATAATACTAAAAACCCTGCATAACCTTACTGTACTATAGTACTATAATTCCCAAGGTATAAGGTACTTAGGATCATGCAGGATTTTGAGTATCCACCGTAGGGTTTTATGGTTTGGGGTTTGAGGTTCGAGTGTCAAGGCTTCAGGACCTTTGAGTTTGGAGGTCTGGTATTGGCGTTTCTGTTGTGTCTTTTTCTGGTTGTCAACTTTGAAATTATTCCCGCTTCTCTTCTCCTTTATCGTTCTTACCCTTGCGCAGGTAGCTTGCATCCTACCATCTTTTTGCCTGAGACCTACACCCTGAAACCTTAACCCCAAATGCCAAGCCCGGCCCGCCAACCATCAAATGAACGCCCAGAGCCCCGCATCACAACATTCAAAGGCTCCAAGACCAGCAAGCCAATGACCTGCCCAAAAAGCGGGGCGGACGACTGCTGTGACCCGTACAGTTCGTACCTAATCTGACAGTCAGCAGAACATATCAAATACTAGAACTACTTTTGCGGCATCCCTGCCATAGTAGGTTGAACTACCAGACTCCACCAAGGCCCTGAACCCCAAATAACAGGATCCCCATGGTTAGGATATGTGTAATAACAGCGATAATCATAGTAATAATAGCATAAGTAGACTCCAGCAGTGATAGTCAAACATCTTCCACTGCCTCGCCCATTTGTGCGAGACCGCCTTGGACGCCCCAAAAAAAGGCTGAGGTTCGTCAGACTTCGGGGATCAGGGTTCATGAGAAGGTGTGTCTTTGAACAAAACAACCTAAACCCTGAAGCCTAAACTCTTTATCCTAAGTCCTGAGCCCTGAATCTTCAATCCCAACTAAGCCCTAGATCCTAAGCCCTAAAGCTTAGACCCCTAACCGCGCAGGGCTCGGAAATAACGGCTTGAGGGTTGCTCTGTAAGTCGAGCTACACTCTCCCTCCATAAGCTCTCAACACTGAACGTTGCTAAGCTGCTTCCCAGCCCCACCCGCCCTACAAAGTCCCAAAGCCTCAAGAAGCAGAACTGACATACTGGACGCAGCACAAGGGGCCATAAACGCGGATGAAATCCGCATCTGGCCTATCAGCGCGCAGAAGCTCAAGGGCTGAATATCACAGGCAGGGGTTCGTGGCTCCAGGATAGGCTCTGAGATTTGAGGCTTTGGGTAAGATCAGCTCTTGGATTTCGGGCTAAACCCTTAACACTACACCCTAAATCCTAAACGCGGATCATCCACAGGGCCAAGTGAACCTGGCTCTGCTGGATGCGAATCCAAAACCATGGGCTGCCCTAAACTATCCTTAACCTCCTAAACCCTTAACCCTAAACCCTAAGCGTGGTTCGGGGTTTAGGTTCCCCTTAATTACAGCTTCTTGAGGATAATTAGTGCTATTTAGCGTTAGGCAGAGAGTTTAGGGGGGCCGAGTTGGATTCACAGGTACTGATGCGCATGACACCCCTCTGTCAGTCGAGGCGTTCTGCTTCCAATAGGCAACTGAACCCGAAACCTTGGACCCCGAGCCCCAAACTCGTCCCAAAATGAACCCTCAAACCATCAATCCCTATACCCCAAGCCCCAAACATGCATGGCGCGCACCCGCCTGAAATTCTCCTCCTGGGCGTCTGCCTTCAGCCGCTCCGCGAAGGACAGCCGGGCCTTCTGATCCTTTTGGCATAAAGGACTTGTGGGCTATAGTCTAAACTCCTAGTATCCTCCTCAATAACCCCTATAGCCCTATAGTCCCCCATATAATGCCCTATATAGCCTCCTTCAAGGAGTTTAGACTAGGGCTCTTGTGGGCTTCAGGGCTCCCGAGGTTTGGATTCCTAGAGTCGAGCCTGCAAGCCGAGGCTTCGGGGATGCGAGTTTATGGTGAGAACTCATCAAGATTGCCAAGCTTGCCTCTCCCTAATTTCGACCCATCTTAGGGTTATATTGGGATAATGGAAAAGAAAATGGAAAGTACTATTTAGGGTTTAGGGTCCCATGATTAATAACCCCCCCTCCTTCTAAGGGCCTTAATATTAGGATCCCTATTATAATCCCTCTGAAGGGGAGGGGGTTCATTAATCAGGGGTCTGGGTTACTGTCCTAAACTACATTCCAATATAGACCACTTTATCGATGGATCGAAGCTCGAAATCGCAGGGGAGTTTTGTTGGTGGCAGAAAGTCCGTGATGAGGGATCCGGATCGTCTTCCATGTCTGCAATGAGTACCAGGGCTATGTTGCGGCTTTGTATCGACCTATCACCATCAGTATCATGGTGAACGGCTTACTGTACCTGACGTATAGGAAGCTCAGGACTTGGCAGTCCGGGTGTGCGGTGTTAAAAAATCAAGTCTAAGGGGCTTCAGGCTGTGTTGCGTGGCTGAGGCTGTAGGGGGTATATGGCCGCTGTAGGTCTGGAGGTGTTCCCTGGCTTACCTTCCTGGCTTGCGATTGAATGAGCGACCGCTCCACTTCAACGTGTGTGAGCTGGCTGGTGACAGCTGGGAGACCAATATCATCACCCCACCGTGATTAAACTCCTCCTCCTACTGTTCTTGCCACTTTGCAGCAAACCAGCTTCAGCAATATCAATGTTAACACTGACCGTTCTGCCGCATTTCAGACCATGCCAAGGCACCCCGTTCTGGCTGATGATCTGGATGATGTCCTCGGCTCGAGGGAGGCACGACGCTTGCTAATTCGGGTTGACAGGTGGATGGCCTTAGGCTTTGGGTTGTGTGCATCCAGAGGAAAATAGTGGAAGACTCAGTGTTGACGTGCCTGAAGCATGCTGAATGTTGAGTGCCTGTGCCACGCGTCTAGCCTTTGCAAAAGCAACTTCGGGACGGCCTTCAACATCATCCCACTGCAGGTCTGAAAAAGCTCTGCCTTTTCCAGGACCGCGCTCCTTCCAGATCTACCGGGCGCCATTCCTCATCAGGAAGCTGCTCTTCAACAGCAATCTTGAACTCCCAGCTAGGGTGGTCTACATCTTGCCCCTTCCAAAGCTTCGAGATGGAGTCTGTAGGAACGCCAGTATGTCGCGCGGCTGCAGCCATGGAGGGGAAAAGCTCCCAGGAAGCGTGACATCCTGCAGGACGCACGTGCACTGCCTTGCCGCTTCGTTGTATTCTTTCCCCAGATTCTTTGCTCCTGGAGACGAAATGCAACATGTTCTGCGAAGGAGTGACGAATTCAAGGTTACTTACGCGGTTGTTTCCGCGATCGCTGTCCTTGTGGTTCACCTGCATGCCAAGCGAAACAGGCTGGCCCAGGAATGTTGCTGCAACAAGCCGATGGACCAGCAGGCTGCGCCCTGACGTGTACACGCGATGATAGCCATCAGCACCACAATATCCAAATGTAGCTCTGGCCCGGGAGTTTGACACGAAGCGAACTCGACCGCTGGTGCCCACTACTAGACCCGAGAATGGAATCGTCCTGCCAGGGTAAGTGGCTGGAAGCCATGCCTCATCGTTCGATTGTTGGCAACCTTCCTGCGGGTCAGCCCACTTGAACTCATACCAGATGTCACCCGCAGATGCCTTTGCCGACTTTCCATGGCAACAACTGGACACCGAACCTTGGGACAAGCCTAGATGCCGTGCTACCTCGCGTTGAGAAATTGACATCCGCCAGGAGCTCTCCCCGAGAGGTCGCCAAAGAACAGGTGTGCCCAGCTCTGCGGCATTCGAACTGCGCCCTGCGTTGCTTGTCCAAGAGTGGCGCACATTCTCAGCTGGTGTGACATATTCTAAGTTGTGGACATGGTTGTTGGAGGGATCTCGATCAATGTGATTCACGTTGCAGTGGTGAGGCGACGGCGAAGAACCCAGAAAGGCAGCCGCAACCAGCCGGTGAACAGCGTAGCGTTGCTGGTGTATCTGAACCATGCGGTATCCTGAAGCTTTTGGGGAGCCATAGCTAACAACACCAGTGGCGGACTTCACCCGCCCAAAGGAGCTTACCTGCCACGCACACGATGTGGAGCAACAGCGCCACCGCAACCAGCCAGCCAAAGGCTCCCAACTTCCAGCCCCTGCCTTTGCCAGACGCAACATGAGAGCTAAGGATCCTTCAAGCCGTCATGTCAGTGCTGCCGATGGGGCCTACCTCCTACCTTCCACGAAGCAAACGGGTTTCTGTTAAGGAACTTAAATTAAGTTACCATAATGAGTATATATGGTGAATAGTAGGGCTTCCCCAATAGAGTAACTTGAATGAAGTTTCTCAACAGCAACCCAGAAGACCCGTTATGCATTTGCCGGATGCTACCTGGGCGGATTTAGACCTCTAATGTGCGGCTGAGGATCCACCAGCGTTCCGTTGGCAGCTCCGTTGTCGGTCACGAAGCTCGTGTTGATCTGCAGGCTGGCTGCTTTTTCCGGGGTCTAGGACTGGAAGCAAGATTCAAATGCTACAATCAAACACCTTGTCTCTGCAGAGTCTTGCATGCAGACACATTGCCTTTGTGAGGCCTGGACGTGTATCAGAAATGAGGAAATGAATCAGAAGTGTACCCTAGAGGTGATGTTTGCTATTATGAGCCGTAAGAGCCAGCAGGAATAAAGCTTTCTCACCTTAGTCTGACTGTAAGACCCCAGACATTACGTTTTAGGGTTTAGGGTTTGGGGGGGGTTTAGGGTTTATGGCTTAGGGACTTCAACCTTGCAACCCTTTAGCCAGAAATCCTACACCCAAACCACAAACCCCAAGCCCCGCCGTGAAGGGCAGAGAGACATCCACGTAGTTGAAAAGCGAGTGGCCGGGCCCTGCGCGGAGGATATGAACTACAGTCAATTTTGGGGACTGTAGTAAACTACCGAAGGGACCCTCTATCCACTCCTAATGGCCCCTACTGGCAGTAGGTTATAAGGTTTTCGGGGCCATGAGGACATCTAAAGATTTTCGGGGGATTGTATGGGCTATCCCCATCAGCAGTTTGAGAACCCCATATCTTTGCTTTGATATCTTTCTCTGAGGAACCCTTTCCAATGGGGCAGTGTACATTAAACAATTCCGGCGCCGCATGATACCCAGCGTACCTATATACTTGGCATGACTCCTAGTCGTCCTGCATCACTTCCCACAGTCACACTGAGGGCTTTGTACGCGCAGGTCGCCAAACAAAAGCTCACCCTTTACAAACCAAAGTGCTAAAATGCAACTCTACAAGTTCGCCATCAAGCAACAAGCGAAGGGGCCTCAAGGAGACATGTCCTGTGGTCTATGATCTTTAGGATGGGCTTCCAGGCCTTGTTCTGTTCTCACTCTAGCGTTGTCCTGGGCTTGCTTGCCCTGTCTTCAGCTATCTTTCAACTTTGTGGGGTTACTAGTGAATGAGGGACTAGATACTTTATAGGGAATACAACATGGGCATTTTATTCCCTTATTCCCTACTAACCACCAGTAAGTCAAGGCCCCTCTCCTCTGAACCAACAACTTCATGATCTGGGATGCTGCCTGACTCGCGGAAGGTGTTGATGTCGGCTCCTGCGCTGTCGCAGGCAGCGCCGCAATCCTGCCAGGTCACAGTCAGAGAGCTCTTAAAAGTTATGGGTGTCTTCAGGGAGACTATGAAGGGATCATGGCGTTGGCCTGTTGAAGGCCACGTTTGCAAGGATCTGTATGCTTGTGTAGTGGTTTGGAAGAGGGCCCTGGCTTGAATAAATGTGCATCAAACCCGGAGCACTAAAACTCTCTCTAGGCACATGGAACTGAAATGATCATCATTAAGCCGCATAAGCTTTTCTGTATCCGAGCCGCCTACCAACAGATACCACCTGGATTAACGTGGATGTTGAAAAAGGTGATCGTCTTCAAACCTGCTCCCATCCAGTCCGGTGCACAACTGCGCGCATGAAAAGGCAAAAAAAAAAAAGACGTGAGAGTTTCACGTGTGCCTGCTGTAAGTAACATCACAAAGACTAATGAGTGCACACCTCGGCGTGGCATGTATCACCGTAGGCTTGTGCCCATGACCTAGTTCCTACGACATCTACAGTACATGTCTCTACTATCATAACTTCGGTATCAAGTACTCAGACCGGCGTCGCGAAGTTAGCCTCTACCTTCACCCAATTATGATACTAGGGCACTGAGCCCCATGGAACGTAAAGACCTAAACCATGCAAGCCGTCAAAAAAAGACCCTCCACTTCAAGAAACAGAACCCCTTGGCAGTCCTCCACCTTCGAGGAGTCGCAGACGGTCGCCTGTTGCGGCAAGGAAGGCATAGATTTAATGGCAGTAAGCTGAAATCTTTGGACTGTGCTTGGAACGGTTTCCACATCTAGGGTTCGACAGTGAAGCTTCATAGAAATCCAGAGAAATATTCATAGAGCATTGAGGCGAGGGGGAAGTTTTGGGAGGGTGACCTAGGAATTGACCAAGTAGGAAGCCCTTTCCGTTTTGGGGTGGGTACACACTTCTCACTGCTAAGCCTCACATGCCCTAAGCGCTGCAAATCCTTAGACCCCGAGGTACATAGGTACATTACGAATTACAAAGCATGAACGTTTCTGACCCAGCCCCCAGACCCTGAATCCGAAACCCTCAACCC